TGTGGGAGTGATGAGGTTCCCTGAGAGTCTAGACTTGGGATGAGGCACGTCCCACTGCCCTTCACATGAGAAGTTAACATTCATTCATTCTTGAGGCCCATGTATGTGGGCTGCTCCCCGTTCCAGATCTGAGTGGGTGCAGGGCTACAGTGGAGGATGTCAACACATGCACGGATACAGCCAATGGCTATCAAAGAGACCCCTAAGAGTCAAGGTTTCCCAGCCTCAGGAGGTGTGATATCTAAAGCCCTCCACAACCCCGAGAGGGCACAGTGGCCTGTGCCTATAGTCCCAGCTACTTAGGGGCTGAAGTGGGAGGATCCCTTGACCCCAGGAGTTTGAGACTAGCCTGGGCAACACAGTGAGACCCCATCTCTAAAAAACAAAAATCAAACTAAAATTTAAAAAACAACCTTGAGGCTTCCCTGGAAGTCCAAGCTCCATCCCAGCTTCCCCAGAGCCTTTGGCCTGTAACTGGGTGGGAAGGGACTTTAGAGGAGGATCACGTGTAAGCAGGGTGTCAAGAAGGGGGCTAATGGTGGCTGGGAGCAAATCTGGACCCAGGGTCCAGTTTCAGCCACAGCACAGCCCCTGAACTGTCTGCCACGGCCAACAGGTGTCTGCAGGATGTCACTGTAACAAATGAAGAGGCTCTGCAGCTGTTCAATGTGACTGTGCCTTCCATCCCCATGTCCGAGGACTGTCTGTACCTCAGCATCTACACGCCTGCCCATGCCCATGAGGGCTCTCACCTGCCTGTGAGTGTCAGGCCACAGTCAGCTGGGGGGTGGGAGGACTTTTCTTCTGCAGTATCGGCTTGGGCCCTGCCGCAGTGTGGACCCTATTAAGAAGCCTCTCACTATCAGGTTCAAGAAGTGCTTTTTACCCAGAGTGGGCAGCTGACCTCTGGGCCTGGGGTCGCAGAGCTCTGGCTGCTCCCAGAGGTCAAAGGCTGTGCCTGGGATGGACTCAGGACTCAGTCCATGAACCCACGCCCAGGAGACCCACTCAGGTGCCTGAGGGCTGCACTTTGAGGTCACCTAAGACCCAGCCTTGGATGATGTGTTGGTCCTATGAGAATAGAGGACATTTTTGATTAATGTTCATGTGGGACAATCAGGAAGACACCTCTTTTGTTTCCACCTCAGTGAGGGTTCTGCAAATAGCGGAGCCATGCTTTGAAACGTAAGTTTGGGAGGCCTGGTCTTGGGTCCCTCCCCCGTGGCCCAGGTCACGAGGTCTTGCTGCAGTTCTCTCTGTGTGGGGAGGTGGACAAAGCAGTGGTTGGTCTGCAGCAGCCCTGGCGGGGCGTGGGCTGGGAGGCAGCCACGCGGTGTCTGCTTTGGTTTCCCGCAGGTGATGGTGTGGATCCACGGCGGAGGGCTTGTCGTGGGCATGGCTTCCATGTATGATGGCTCCATGCTGGCAGCCTTCGAGGACGTGGTGGTGGTCACTATCCAGTACCGCCTGGGCATCCTGGGCTTCTTCAGGTGAGACTGGGGCTGGGCTGGGCCATGCGGGCTGAGTGGAGCCAGGACAGTCTTATGATCCCCATCCCTGCCACTTCCCAGCACTGGGGACAAGCACGCAACCGGCAACTGGGGGTACCTGGACCAGGTCGCCGCTCTGCGCTGGGTCCAGCAGAATATCGCTCATTTTGGAGGCAGCCCAGACCGTGTCACCATTTTTGGCGAGTCTGCAGGTGGCATAAGTGTGTCGTCACATGTTCTGTCCCCCATGTCCCAAGGACTCTTCCATGGTGCCATCATGGAGAGTGGTGTGGCCTGGATGCCTGGCTTCATCACCAACTCATCTGATATGACCTCCAGGGTGAGTGCCCTCAGCCATGGAAGCCCAGACCTGCTGCCCTGTCACCTCCCTCTCAGCGCCTCTGTTTGTTAGACGTATAGAGCAAGGACCATCGGGGCGCCTCGGGAACTGCCACCTACCCGGCGATTCCTGAGGGGCTCAATGGTCAGAACCACACAGCTCTGCCAGCACAGAGGCTGGGTACATTCTGTGGCCTGCAAAGCTGCCACCCAGGGGGGTCTCCATCATGGGCAGAACCACTGAGGAAGCTGGAACAATTTCAAAACTGCAGGAATCCACACACAATACTTTGTGAGATTTGGGGTCCTCCTGCCCCAGCCAGGGCCTTGGGCAAACTCCTCTCCCCTACCCGGAAGGATGAGCCAGCTCCTGCCTGGTCCCTTTACAGATGGTGGCCAACCTGTCTGTCTGTGACCGGGTTGACTCAGAGGCCCTGGTGGGCTGCCTGCGGGGCAAGAGTGAAGAGGAGATCCTGGCTATTAACAAGGTCGGGCTAAATGGATGCAGGTGTGGACGAAAGGGCAGGTGGGGTATGGGGCAGGTGGCTGGGTGTCCTCATACTGCCTGGGCAAGTTCCCTCATCTCCATGCCTTGGTGTCCACGTAGCCCTGGATGAAATGGAGGCCAGGGTGAGCTAACCTGGCGCAAGATCTCCCGGGTGGACATGAGCATCCTGGGATGAGCCAGGAAGGGGCAGAAGGCATTCAGAGGGCATCAGAAAATGTCTGGGAGCCCACCTGGCTCCCTGACCTTACACGCCCCCTCAGGCCTTCCCGATCATCTCCGGCGTGGTGGATGGGGCCTTCCTGCCCAGGCACCCCCAGGAGCTGCTGGCCTCTGCTGACTTCCAGCCTGTCCCCAGCATCATTGGCATCAACAATGATGAGTATGGCTGGATAGTGCCCAAGGTGAGGCCCAGGCCTGAGGCCTGATGCCTGGGGAGCCCATCTGCTTTGGGGGGAGGGCTGAGGGCTTAGTAGCCCACCCCATGCCCATCCCATGCCCAACTGACAACTCTCCCCACCCCACCCCCAGTTCTTTGGCTTCTATGACACCCAGAGAGAAATGGACAGAGAGGCCTGGGAGGATGTTCTGCAGAAAACGTTCAAACTGATGGTGAGGCCCCTGGGGTCCTGTCCCAGTGGAGAGGGGCTCCTCTCCTGCCAAAGCAGTGACCCCCATGAGCAAAAGTCAGGGTATGTGTGTGTTGGGGGTGGGGGTCACTTCAGAGCTTGGCCCTTTGTCCCCATTCCCTGTTCCATCCCATGGCCCATCTCCCCAAACCTGAGGCTGCTGCCTCCCTGCCCCTGGCAGCTGGCCTAACCTGCCCCTTCCTGATCCACCTGGGGTAGGCGTTGCCTCATGAGCTTGGTGACCTGTTGATGGAGGAGTACGTGGGGGACAGCAAGGACCCCCAGGCCCTCCAAGCCCAGTACCAGGAGCTGATGGCCGACTCCATCTTCGTGATCCCTGCACTCCGAGTAGCACATTCTCAGTGTGAGTATTTTTGTACCTAAGGCCTGACTGGCAAGGGGGCAGCTCAGAGCTGGGGTCCCAGGTCTGCTGGTGTTCACGTCCCCACCCGCATCTTTATTGGGCTCCTGGGAACCCGGCACTTGATGTAAATCCTCACGGCTAGTCTAAGAGACATTCTCCATTTTACGGGTGAGAATACTGAAATTACTGACCTTCAGTGACTCGCCCAAGACCACCCAGCTAGGAAGTCCAAGGCCATGATTTAACCCGGCCCTTCCCACTGCCCCCGCTCCAGCCTGGGGCTCCCGACCCCACTGTCAGATACTAGCCAGCTTTGGACCTGGGTGTCTTGTCACCATGAGTGACACAAGAAAGCTCCAAGTGGGGGGCTGCCATGTCACAGCCTGTCCACCCCCATAGGTTCCCGTGCCCCTGTCTACTTCTATGAGTTCCAGCATCGGCCCAGCTTCTTCAAGGACGTCAGGCCACCACACGTGAAGGCAGATCATGGCGATGAGATTTTCTTTCTTCTGGGAACCTCATACTGGGGCAAACACAGTGAGTCTTTCTCCTTCCCCAGGAGGTGGGATGGGACCTGGGCTGGGTCCCTGAGGGGTGACCGCCCTCGCTGTACCGATGAGGAAACTGAGGCTCAGAGAGAGGATGGGATGAGTTGTCCTAGATCTTACGGCTCCAAAGGCTGAGCCAGGATTAGACTCCAAGACTCTTTAGACTGAGGCCTGCGCTCCCCCCCCTTTTCCCCCCCCCCAATGGGTGTCTGGCATGGGTGCAGGGCTGGCAGGGGTGTTTCAAAGGCACATTTGTTTCTTACATGACTCCTGGTGTGAGAAGGAAGAACAGGCCTTCTGGGCCAGCGGTGAGCCCAGAGTCGAGTCAGCCAGGGGCTGGGCTGAGGAAAGAGCGTGGGAAAGGCCAGGGCCTGGCTCCGAGGGCAGTGAGGGGGGGGCAGAGAAGCAGACCTTGGGGTGCCAGGGACAGCTGCACCTGGGACCGTGAAGGCGATTCATGACCCGGCAGCTGGACTGGGGTTGGCCCTGACCTGAACACGTGTCCTCGTCCTCTCTGCAGTTGAACTCACCGAGGAGGAGGAGCTTCTGAGTAGGAGGATGATGAAGTACTGGGCCAACTTTGCTCGAAATGGGTGAGGTGGTGCCTCCATCTCCACTCCCCGGGGGGCTCACCCATCTAGCACTCCCCTTGTCCGCAGTGAGCTCAGTAGCATACACGCGTCCCTAATCACACGACAGCCCCTTCCCCAGCTCCAGGACCCACTCACACGGCGGGGGGTTCATAGGCGCAGGACACCCTTCCACCCCCACCCCCGCCTGGAGCTTGGGCACAGTGCCGAGTTCCCACTAGGTCTGTCTGGAGGGGCAAAACAGACCAGGGTGCCCTGCCCCCATGCGGAGCTGACACTAGTGGGGGGTAGTTTCTTTCCTGTATCTAGAAACCTCCCCCTCATTCCGCAGGGACCCCAACGGCGAGGGTCTGCCCCACTGGCCCAAGTTAGACCAGGAGGAGCAGTACCTGCAGCTGGACATACGGCCTGCAGTGGGCCGGGCCCTGAAGGCCCACAGGTTCCAGTTCTGGACAGAGATCCTGTCCCAGAAGATGCAGGAGCGAACGGCGGCTGAGAAGCACACGGAGCTGTAGCTCCTGTGTCGGGGAGCGAGGGGGTGGGCGCCATTACGGTGGGGTCTGCCTCGTGTGCCCACACACAGCCACCGAGGAGCCAGCAGTTGATTCCGTCCCTCACATGGCATTCATTCATTCTTCCATGTGCCTACTCAGGAAACATTAAGAACCTGCTGCGTGAAGTTAGTTGTCAAGCCGGCCACGGGTCTTCTCTTTTTAGACATAGTCAATGAATCCCCCAGGGAGCAGTGCAGGGGCAAAGCCTCGTGGAAGCCCGCCCTCCCCGGCGCTCCACTGGGCTCTGGGCCCCATCCTCCCCTCCTCACCTCTGCCTTTTCCTCACCCACCCTCTTCTCTCCTCCGAGCCCCCAGGCCTGCCCCACTTGGAGGGAGGTGCTTTGGGGAATGTTGCCCACACCTGGGTGTCAAAAGCCGATGTCCACCTCTCCACAAGTCCCACATGTCCTCATATCCATAAGTGGCCAGTAGAAAACTTGG